ACGACCCTTGGCTAGGCAGTGCGAAGCGTGGCTAATAATCAGTGCACCAATTAATCAAACATACAGAAATTGACTCGCAGTCATTAACACGGGCAGCAAAGAAGCTGATTAGTCGCGTTGTAACGTAGGCACCGTGCCCTCCCCACAGTACTGGCTCAGTTTACGACTTGCTCCCGCCAATAATAATCCCACTGTGGGGACGGCCCCACGGTCTACAAAGTCAATGACGAGGAAGGGCCAGGAAATGTAGGTACGGGGCTGAAGTTAGCCAAGATGCTGTGTGTGATTAACACGGGCACAGTCTTTCTCACACTTAAACAGTACTTGTTCGTATAGGTTGTGAAGGTGCCAGGCTGTGCTTCAGGCTCACCGTTTCTTGCCAGAGCTATAGAGAGAGGTGACCAAAACGGTGAGCGATGAAAAGGCAAGAAATGTCACGTCCGGAAGGCATCCGCTCCAGTGTCCTGTAACGAGTGGTGAATGAATTGACGAGGCAGCCTTGCAGACTGCAGCTCTACGACCCACGTCACTGAGGGCCACGCAAAACCTCCCGATCAGCCCACCGGATTCCGAGCTGCAGAGGCCATCTGGCGTCCCAGCTCACTTTTCTTGTGGGGAAATGCCCATTCGGCAAAGTACACGTGGAAATCCCACCGCAGGACTCTATGCGTGATCCGGGCCTTGCCACCTAATTCATCCCATCCCGTCAGCCGTGGGTTGGTGCAGGGTTGGGCACACACCAGGCGGAGCCAGCTCTCTCCACGGGAACCCCTCGCCCCAGCTCGGAAGATGGTCTCAGCATGTAAGCGGGGCGGTGGGGGCGGGGGTGGGGGGTGGGGAGGGCTGCCCGGGGCCGTTTTCATGGCCGCATGAGAGATGCTTGTCTGGGGAAAGTCAGTTTGAGGCGGCCAAACACAGAGAAACAAAGACAAGGAATAAGCCAGAGACAGGGACTGACGGCGAGCCTTGGCACACAGAATTCTGTTCCCGCAGCTTCTGCTTTTCCAAGAGCCACTCCAGAATCTTTCCCAGCCGTGTCAGACAACAATTTCCATTTGTAACTCAGTTACTTTGAATTGGATTTCGGCCCTTTGGCAACAAAAGTCCTAACAAATGCACAAATAAACCTAGAATTGGGAGGAAAGTTTAAAGTCTTTGTGGTGTTACAAGTGATCGCTCGAGGGGCGGGGGGCAGGGGGGGGAAGTGAGCAGAACTGGGAAGGCACAGCTAATCTTGGCAATCTGGAGGAGGTGCCCACATCGCCGTAGCCCCCGGGGAACTGCCCTTTAGCCGTATCCAGCCCCGTGTGCGTTCCTTCAGTTTCTTCCTTGAATTCAAGATCTCGCTGTGGGGAAACACACCCACCTCATTACCTTTTCTCTTCCCAACCCTTCTTCTCCCCCGCCCCCCATGACTCCCAAACACACTAAAGAGGGAATGAATGCCACTCCTGTCTGCTCTGTAGGGCAGGGACTCTCTCCGTGTGATCGACCTGAACAGTGTGTGGCCAGCCCTGTGCGTCAGCCTTCCCCGAACTGCGGTGTGGATGCGAGGCTCCCAAGTTGTGGCAGATAGTTTGAACCGCACCGTGCTGCAACTGTTGTGGATGCTTAAGCAGCTGGTTATCAACCCTTGATTCTAAAAGCGCATTGATTCATCACATAGAAATTGACAGGAGGGGCGCCTGGGTGGCGCAGTCGGTTAAGCGTCCGACTTCAGCCAGGTCACGATCTCGCGGTCCGGGAGTTCGAGCCCCGCGTCGGGCTCTGGGCTGATGGCTCAGAGCCTGGAGCCTGTTTCCGATTCTGTGTCTCCCTCTCTCTCTGCCCCTCCCCCATTCATGCTCCGTCTCTCTCTGTCCCAAAAATAAATAAACGTTGAAAAAAAAAATTAAAAAAAAAAGAAATTGACAGGAAACTATACATCCCTTCATTACAGCATTTGCTGCCCGACATTATTGTTCCTTTTTATGTGTCTGTCACCAGCACGAGATACATGCCTGTGAGTAGGGAGATCACATCTTAGTGAATCTGCGCCCAGCAATTAGCATGGCTCTTGGCAAGTACAGGTGTCTGATGCCTCCCCACCAGGGACCAGCAGTTCTTTTTTTTTTTTTTTAATGTTTATTTATTTTTGTAGAGAGGGAGATCGGGGACACAAGCAGGGCGGGGGGGCAGAGAAAGGAGAGAGAAAATCCCAAGCAGGCTCCACGCTGTCAGCACAGAGCCCAGTCCAGGGGCTCGGTCCTACGAACCGTGAGATCGCCACCTGAGCCGAAACCAAGAGTCGGATGCTTAACCGACTGAGCCACCCAGGTGCCCCAGGAGTTCTACAAACTCCATAGAACCTTGTTTTTCCAAGGGGAGTACGTGGACCAGGAACATTGGGATCTCCGGGACAGAGGATTGCAAACGAAGAATCTGGGCCCCACCGCAGAACTGCTGATTTGTAGCTGAGAACCGGCACGTAGGGAGAGACAGGGTGATCTTGCAGAGGCCAGAGCTCATGGATGGGGGAAAGGGAGGAAAAGGGAGAAGGGGAAGTCAAGGGCAGGTGAATCTGCAGGGCTGGGGTGAGAAATGACAGTGAGCACCGGAGAGAGGCAGGGTGGCCAGAGGATGATGCCCCTAGAGGAAGGAGTTGTAGGGTCCCATGCTCCGCGGACCATCTCTGTTCACACAGGACCCTTACCGTGCGGTGGAGAAAGGCAGTCAGGAAACCTTCACTGTTGAAAGGAAAAAAAAAATAATAATAAATAAGAAACAAACAAACAAAAACAGAATATCCAGCCTTGTTTTCTCCCATCTTTAAGCTGGGAGTTCACTTTTAACTTTAAGATCTGCTAGGCGCGCTAGGTTTTGCAGCCAGAGGAGACATGAGCTCATAAGAGCAGACGGCTATCGGGTTCTTAATCTTAGAACCTACCGATGTGTTGAAATGAAAAAAATAAATTAACACTGCCACTCCAGGACCCAGATGAATGGGTTTCGGCCAGCGTCTGCAGGAAGCTTCTGCAGGAATTCAGTAGACGATTTCTATTTGAAAACAGCTCAAGGAGCACTTCATAAGTGCGATTTGATGAGAATGATGATTCACAGAACAGCACCTTACATGCGGTTAAGCCAATGTGCCCCGGGGAACAGTCATAATGCACCAGGTCTAACACACACCTGAGGAAAGGAACCCTTTGGGGATCCGGATGCAGTGTGATCAACGGCAACTCTAAACTAGCTGGCCAATCATGTTGCTGCTTGAAGGATCAGCCTCCCTAACCTGCTCACCGTGGATCCCAAACGCTACTCCTGAATACCACCCTAAGCCATCCTTTGGGCCATGAACGTGGCAGTTTAGGCAAAGGCTTGGAGAAGCGGGGCCCGGGAGACTGCGACTCCCCGGGGAGACCTCAGGAACGGAATAAATAGGTCACCGGGCTCCCGGGCAGTGCTCCTTTGCCCGTCACCCGGTGCAAGCCCCAGACGGCCAGCTGGGGTGGGGTGCGGGGGCAGCGGGCCGGAAAGGCGAGCGTGCAAGTCGCGGCCTCCAGGTCCTCTCCTTCCCAGAGGGGGTCGGGGCGGG